ACATGGTTTGAATTCATTGCCCCCTCTGATACCATTTGTGCAGGAATGAGGTCGAAAACGGCTGGATAGGGCACAATAAGGGGCCGTAGAGTGAGCCACGGTCGCCCTCCGCCCTTCGCTAGGCTGACTGCGAAATCTAATTGCCGTTCACCACTTTCGCATTGGAGCGAAGTTGGTGAAAAGTCGATAAGCTGAATGGCAAATTGCCAGAGACGCAATGTTTTGTCTGCTATTGCAGATAACACATTGCGTCGCCTTCGTGCACTCGCCCTAACACTCCCTAACCGCCGTTCTTTCAATGTGAAACTTGTCCAACCCCCCTTTCCAGCTCTTTTTTGACCCTTTGTAATTCTTTTTGTTCATTGTTTTTTGCGCTTTTTTCGTTGTTATCGCTTTATTCTAGAGTAATTCTATAAATTCCCGTCAAAAAAGGGTACCCTAAATTTATTGCTAACGGTGCCTTTAAGTACCTCACCTCACTACGCTACTGCATTGGCTATTCTCAACACAGAATAGCCTTGGGTTGATATGGAAGAGATCCAGTACGGTGCAAAAAATTGAGCCTTATTCTCTGTGTTCAGAACCCATTGGACCAAATACCTCAGGTACTAATTGCCTGACGGCGTTCATAAACTCTACTTCACTCATATTTCCATACAGGGAAAGTGCTACCACGACTGGACCTGAGCTTTTAAGAACCTCACTCCTCATATTAGCACGGAAATGATGTTCCGAACGCCGGTCTAGTCATGATTACTCAAGGCTACCTAAGTTGCAGATGAATAGCCTCCTATATATTAGAAATCAGAAAGTGCTAAGCTGATTTGTTAATGCTAGCTGCGTGTAATGCTACACTGGCACATAACTTTTAAGGTATGATAAATACGACGGTCACCTGCTATAAGGGTCCTTGATCTCATCCAGGACCTCCATTTCTTCCTCAGTCATCAAACCTGGAATAGTCATTGAAGCAGAGCTATCTGTCCCGAACAGTTTATGTATTAGTGCACATAAGAGTCGAGTCTCTGCGCAGACTTCTGGGAGTACATGTTGACGGTACAATCGGAACACTGTGCAAAGCACTAGTGCTCTGGAAAGATTCAATGAAACGTTATTTCCTCATTTCCTGGATGCGTGCCTGATGCATACAATTTTGTGATCCCTAACTATTTTCAGTAGAAGAAACAATGTAAATCTTCTCAAAAGAAGAGCAATATGAGCCGTGGTGAGCGACAAAGCAACCAAGAGTCAGTTCCTAGCTCGGAGTGGTCGTGTCTCTAGCATGCCAAAATCTTCTTGATGTATGTGCACCCTCACAGTCTGCTGTTCCGATTAGATACCGTCAGGATGTACTTTTAGAAGTTTGCGCAGAGACTTAGCTTTGACTATTTCTCAGCTCAACAGTTTAGAGACTTCAGTTTCTTTACGAGTCGGGCAAACGACTCGACATCTGTGCCATGAGGGGACTAGTTAGCCGGGGCTCAAGGTCACTGTTTCTCAAGGTTCTTCGATCCGTCTGGGTCTTCCTGCCTTTCATGAAACCAAAATCTTGAAAAGTTTAAGCGTTATGATGGATGGGTGTGCATCGGAGCCCACCAGAGTAATGCCCACTACTAAGCTCTAACTAGTGCGAAGGCTGGATGACCACGAAAAAAAGGTCTTGAAGCAGGTGTAACAGGATCAGTAACCCTACATACTATTCTCCTTGATATAGCAGATGTGAATGTTTATTTTCGAAAGTCAGTGCAAATGGGCATTGAAAAAAGCAATCCAATATTCGAAGTGTCACTTACCTGATGCTGCGAGCGTGTCCATCGTGGGAAACCGTTTACGCACCTGCATGGAAATATCGCGAAGAACTAATGCTTGACACAAAACCATGTACCTGCAATGCTCACATTTTCAAGGAATCGGATTGCTGTTGCATAGGATTCGAACCTAACAAGATTTCTTCGTAGAACCCTGGTTGGCTCATCTCCACCTCGTATGTAGGATGCAAAAAGTATAGACGCGCTGAAACTAACAGCGTCATAATTAAAGCAGTAGACAAACAAACAACAGCAACAGCAAAACAGATGCTTGAAGAATGGGTCTAGAGTGAGTGACATTTGAGTGCGTGACAAAGACAGCGGTTCAGTATATATTGCTTTTTGTTCTCTCCTATGTTGGCTGGTGACCACTGGTTTACACAAAAGGATAAAAAAGAAAGTGTAGGGTTTTACTAAATCCTGTCTGGAGGACATCCGACTTCCGTTAAGAATCGTGGCGGCGTATTGAAGGCGTATGTCCTCCCAGACGAGTTTGGCACCAATTAACCGACCCCGTAAGGATGGAAATCTTGCTTGGTCTATTCGCACGTCTTTCCGAGAATCGAACCCGTGACCATGCATGTATGATAGTGGGCCACTTGCCGCTACACCATCCCCACTCCTTCTTAACATAGGAAAGTACAAATGCCGGGTGTAGCTCTTCACTACGGCCACACATGCACCCATATTCGGGCAAGAAGATTACAAGATTTTACAAGGAATCGTCGTCACTATCCATCGAAGAAACCCAAAATTGGGAAAAAGCTTCGGAACGTAAATGAACCCTTGGAAATACACAACAATGGATCGACAACTGGAAAAAGAGACAAACGTACTCATCTATCCATCCGATCCCGTTTAGAATCGAGCCCCATCGACCGACAACGAACGAAACGAAGAAGCCTAACATGAAAGTGAGCGGGATGTTCGAGTCGAGCTTGGAGTCCAAGTATTTGACCAGATGCTCGAACCAGCTGAAATTAGAATCTGAACATCTTCACTCTCCAAACTCAATTATTACAATTACTCGTATAGAATACAGCGAAAGAGTCATCGCATTCCTATCGGGCTGCCAATCGGCTGAGAAAGATTCGTTGAAGTCAGAAGTGGTGCGAATTGAGCTGAAGCCAGATTCAAAAGATGATTTGACCTGCGTTTACTGGTGCTTACATTCCCTGCTTGGTATGTTTGAGCGCGTCATTTCGGCCAAGAAAAATAAATAAATAAATGATCATGCTTCTTGCAGTGGAACGCCATTGAATAGGGCGCTCGCAATGTCGTACAAACCAATGTCATGTCCTCTAATACAATTTTCCTGATAATTTAAATAAAGTTATGAGGTTTAAATTAAAGGCACGGTTTACAATGCAAAAGGATTCTGGGATTCCTTTGTAGGATGAATTCGAGTACCCGTCGTATACCATACGCGGCGCTATCAGGTCGGAAAACGGCATAGTTAGGACGTTATAAAGGCTCAAAGATTGTATCGTGTGTGTCCTTGGACGAGTTTCAGCGGCACTGCAGAGGCTGCGCCATTCACAAGGGAACCCATGTAAGGGGCCCAAGCAACTTGTCATGACCCATAGACCGTGTATGGCAATTCCATACAGTTCTGTCTTGATTTAATGTAGAAGGCAGGAGTGATCGGTTCAAAGACAACGCCAATATCGGCTAGCCAGTCTGCAGTGCTATACGTGTAGGTGCTCATAGGCTATGGTACAGCACCAAGAGGGTGCAGAAGGGCTTGAGATGGGAACTCATGAAAGCATGGTACTTGAACAGCACAATATCGAATCCGACCTACGTCCGAAAAATAGCTATTTGCAAAAAACCTCAACAACGTAATGATAACCTAGAAAACCTCCCTCGGAAAGGTGCCCTACATTCAGCTTTTCAAAAGACTGACGACCGAACCGACTGACCTAGACTGACGGTGAGGGCAAACGGGGTCTTGGTAGGGCACGGAAAAGAAGACATGGTGCTCGAAGAGACCATATAGCTCCGGCTTTGTGTCCGGCTGAAGCTCTGCCCAAAACCTTCAAACAACTTTCCAAGCCCGTAGGACTTCCGCGTCTCCTGACTGTGGGCAAACAAGAGCACCAAAAAAACACCATGTCAAATCAAATCATGTCATCAGCATCATGTCAAATCTAGGGTTTATTCCTGAGTGCATTCTTGGCCTAAAAAATTACTTGTACACAGCCGTCGGCCGATGTTTTCATCATTCCAGACGATTGTGCTAAAATTAGCCGGTGGATGAGCAAATTGTCTGGCTCGAGTGAAATTCAATTCTCACAGCATCTGCTGGCACCTGTCTCTTCGTCACCTCTGCTCATCAAGTAGATGAACAAAAGAAAACAATTGAGACCTTCACTGGCCATAAAGTAGCGGACGATTACAACGGACAATGATAATCGTGAAGCGTTCTATGGAATGGGATCGTATCCGAGACTACTCAAAATTATTAGTACTATCTGTTTTGTATCTTTTCTCTGATCCCTTCTCTTTCAGCTTCCATGCCTTTCCGTAATCGCTTTCCATCAGAAGATGTTGGGTGCTCTCTCTACTTACTCTGTAGTTCTTTCAACCACTTATTCTCGACAACCAGACCCAGATCCCCGACATTCTAAACGTTCAGGGGAAATCCAGTGGGACTTCGCCGCAGTGCTATCGATCGACATCAATCAATCCATACAGGTCAGTATCGATTTATTGTGGAAATCGCAAGTGTTTTCAAGTTACAATGGATACTTCCTTGATCAAACGTTGATTGAATAGGACTATGGTTCGATTAGATATTGCTGCAATGGTCGCGATCATTGGTGGTAAATCGATGTGGATCGATATCGATTTCTTTTTGATAGACCAATTATTTCACCCTTTCACAGCAGAAAGACAGGAGAAAGGGCATTGGTCTGGTATTTCAATTTTGTAGCAAAAAATAAAGAAAGTCATGCGTGGGCATGGTGATCAGTTTGTGTAGGTACTGAAAAAGATGCAAAGTAAACAATGTCAAGAACAATAAAACAACAATAAAGCATAAACAGTTCATCGAAATGAAGGTGTTCCATTGAAAAACGAGTAGCTTCTACCAGCCCTATACAGTATTCCGATCTACATGGTATCGACATAAATGGGTGAACATTCGACAGTGCCTTCAGATGTGCTTGTCTTTTTTCAACGACTGCCCTCATATTTGCCCATATGCTGAACACATTGGCCTTTTTCTTCTTCCTTTTTAACATTTCTCCTCTGTGTTATAATCAGGACTTACAGAACTGTCCAAAATAGGAATGAATCGATAAAACCGTTGTAAAGGTGCCCCCCATCACGACTCAACTCGTCATTTTCTTTATATAGAAAATCTAATACTGATTGAGTCGTAGTCAACAAAATTTACGTGATATGGCATCACTGGAGATAAATGCTTCTTGTAGCTAGTCGGATTTCCCTTTAACTGATGGGATTTGTTCTCACGTGCGGCTCTCGATGATGGGATTTGCTTAGATGGTAAGGGACAACCATAGACTATCAACTGAACAGCCATGATAGCCTTAGAAAGAGCCAAACGACCAAACGACTGTTGGAAACCCAAAAACTATTGTTGGGAAGCCAAGATAAGATAGCAATGAATGTAACCAGGACCTATTCCCAAAGATGGGCTGTCGAGAAAGGCAGTGAAAAGAAACGGAATAATAAAGAACAAAGAAAATCGGACAAAGCATTTTCATGATGTCGAAAAGACAAGGTAGTCATTGGGAGATATCAGAAGATTGACGATTGGGCAGTATTCGCTGACTCAATGAGGAAAAAGAGTGAAAGGAGGTTGATGTCGTCTCGAAAAGGGATGAATCCTATCATGGAAGGGCGATCACGAAAGGTTTCAGCGGTTGGAAGGAAGCTGTACTTTTTCCAAGAAAAAGAGGCATTGGCTTAGAAACAAGGGGATGTGTATTCAAGTTTGAAGAAGAAGGAGAGCCATGATCCAAGTGTCTCGTAAAGTAATCATTATAATCATTATAAATTGAGGGTCATACTGCTTCCACACAGATTAACTTGAATCTGATTTTCATTGAAATTCTTACTTTTGCTGATCCGGTGAAAGAAAGTAGCGATAGATACAGCTGACGAGAAGAAACGCTGCAGTCCAGATCAGCAGCTGACCGCAAACGGCCTAAAAATCATGAGGGTATTCGGATGACTGCTACTATTTGCGAACATTAACAAAATACGAAGGTGAAAGAAAATGAGCTTCAGCAGCTTTAGACGGTTCAACTTTTTTCACTATTTTAGTTGATTCAACTTTTCAACTCAATCTAGAGTACCGATTCACCGAGTATTTCATTAATCTAATTCGAAAGTAAAGGAAGCTTTCCGGCTTTGGTGCGTTAGGAACGAAGTGGTCGCGTCGCGGTGAGAGGGGCGTCGCGCGCGAAGGGATGTAGCAGGATGCAGCAGTAGGTAAGAAATACAAGAACAAAAGTTCTAATAGTAGAATTATGCATAAAATAATGATCGCATATCGATTGAGCTCTATGAAGAACGCTAGAGCTGTAATAACGGCGAATGAGTGGTCCGCGACAGCCGCGTGCGGCGAATCGATTGCCCCAAATCGTTCCTAACGCCCGTCTCCCAAGTTCTCCAACACCTGGAAACAGGGCCAGAAGGAAATGTTGTATATTGAAATTTACTTACACCTTGGGAAGCTCACAAAAACGATTCATATTCATGAAGATTTTTCAGACCCAGTAAATGGAATCTCGCTTTTCTTAATTTTGGAAAATTTGGATTTTGAGAGAGTTTTGGGATCC